ACAGATAAAAGTAATTTATTAAGGATCATTTTTAATACATGACTTTATTTTAAATTTGAAAATTTATTGAAAATTGTATGCAATTGCCCTCAAATATTCAGTTGGTGATTGTTGTGAAAAAAGAAGAAACAATCTGCAAAATTATTTCATGTGTCTTCATATACTTCTTCAATTTAGTGGGAGGGGATGTCCTCCAATTAATTGCTCGAAAAATGCATCTTCCTTTTCTTTACACATTTTGCAGCCCCGTAATGAATCTCCATATTATGGGGTGCTCCATCCTCAACTCTGTGGACAGTCTCCTATTTGCTGCTTCAGTATGGTTATTGGTCTGATCTTGAAAATTAAACACCAGTCAGCCAAATAGGCCGTTGTAACTAATAAATCACTAAGACAAACAGCCAAACTTTCAAAATCTCTACGACGCAAAGGCGATCTAAGAGATGTGCAAACTAGGACAGCCAACACCATTTTGAAGCTATAAATTTTGTGCCAGCGTTCAGTTGTCCTCGCGCTGAGTAGGTTCGTGTTGAGTTCTCCTGGAGTTGAGTTATGGAAGAGTTGGCCGGTGTTGAATCGGCGGTGTTGAGTCGGTGATGATGAAATGTCCCATCCCGTATGAATATATTTGTTAATAATTCAATAGATTCATCGAACTTTCTGAAACTGGTGAGCTTTGTTACGTGGAACCCTAAAGTTGGTCACTGAGCTAAATGCTTCAGAATATTCACTAAATAATTTATAGACTATTGTCGCTCTAGTTATCTACTGAGCACCATTTTTAATAAATAAATTGGTGGTCTTAAATATTCCTTAAGATCTAGTAATTCGTACGCGTATTTTAATCGGCGTCAGTGAATTGTATATATATGACCTGATGCTTGCGCTTAGCATGAAACATGATGTTGACATCAATGTTCACTTTATATATATATATATATATATATATATATATATATATATATATAAGAAAGAGAGAGAGAGAAAGAGAAAGAGAGAGAGAGAGTGATATGTAACCATAAGTTCTATGCTAACAGTTACTTCTATCGCACTACTCGTTTGTGGAACTCTCTTCCGACTTCTTCTTTCCCAGTCAACTTTTTCCTTCAAAAATTTAAATGCAATGTCAATCGTTATCTTCTCTCTTCTTAATTTTCATTCTTTTATTGTCCTCTTTCCTTAATAGTAATTTTTCTTGTATTCTCTAACACTCAGTAAATTCGTGCATCCTTGTGGCTTTATTGCCTTGCTTGAAATGAAATGATTAACACACACACACACACACACACACACACACATATATATATATATATATATATATATATTTGAAACTCAGCTGTATATACAAATAAACAGAATAATATAATTGACTAAGAGTCGGAAGGGGATTCGAAACCCACCGACACCACTCCCCCTGTCGTGAGAGTCAAGCTATTTAAGAAGTGCGAGTGATGTAATGAATCCAGGCAGATGAGGCTATGCCTACGAGCAGAGTCTCGTCTGGGGATGTAGACAGACACCCAAGCCTGTGTGTGCGGGGTCTACGGGGAATTATTGCCCGAGCGTACCTGCTCGGAATAGTCACACATTAAAAACCGGCCTTGTGCCACATCCCGACTTGTGGAGAGTTTTCGGGTAAATATCGCGTCGGAAGCGGATTCTGAACCCACCGACGTCACTCCACCTCCAATGAGAGTCAAGCTATTTAAGAAGTGCGAACGGTGTAATGAATACCGCCTCAGAATGAGAAACTGGAGAGCCGAGTTCGAATTCTAGTCGAGTTCGCTGCACTCATTTAAAAACACTCAAATACTTTTGGAAAAAGTTATGAATCTAATTCTTCCTCTCCCACTTCTCAAGATATGGGTTAAATAACAAAACAGGCTGAGCTCTTTAGTCGTGGTTGGCAACCAGTCTAGGGGTAAGACAGCTCTGAATTGAAAACCGTAACAATTGTCCATGTTCTCTTACCCTAAGCAATATTACATAACAGTTCAGTACTCTTTTATTTGTTTCTAATGAACTTACGCTGTTTCTTAATACCTTGCTTAGCATTTGAAAGGCATTTTTCGCTATCGCAATGCGCCTTCGAATTTTGGTATCACATTTCCGTCCTCTGTTAAAACACTATCTAGATATTTAAATTTTGGTACTTGCTTAATTTTGGCGCCTTCAATTCACATCTTGGGTGTTCCTTTTGTTGACAATTATACATTCTGTCTGCTTACAATTTATGTTTAGTCCTTTCTTCTTGCTTTCCTTTAATACTGGTTGTAGGAGTTCTTGTAGTTTCCTTTCTATAGCTGCCGTCAACACTGTGTCATCTGCATATCTAATGTTATTAAGATTATGGCCGCCATTTTTAATTCTCTCGGGATCGCCTCACTGCAAAGGTTGAATAAGTCCGGTGAAAAGGTACGCCCTGGTTTTACGCCCCTTTCTATTTTTGTGTATTTACTGAATTCATTTTGCTATCCATATGCAGACAACTTGCTTCCACTATAAATCCTATCGTTCCCAAATAAATCAAGTTTACCTAGCATTTCAAATAGTTCTTTATGTCGTACTTTATCAAACGCAGCATAATCTATAAAACATATGTATACATCGTTCTGCATTTGTATTGCTCTTTCTGATATCATTCTCATGTGTGTTTTACTAGGATCCTTGTGAATACGTGGTATATGTTGGATTGAATGATAATATTCTTGCGGTGACTGAGTCAGTTATAAGAATGATGGGTCATGAATCAGAGTAGCTAGGTGTTGGATTGTCGGTGATGACCAACCCTTTCCTATTTCCCCTTTGGCCTTATGACACAATTGTATTTTTAAATACAATAAATACATTTTCTTACATCATTATGAGCATAAATATAGCATTCTTTTTTCTAGTGTCCTATTTCCAGTCTAATTCTGCCCTGCATTCTATTTATGATTTATTTGAGCCTCTACATGGCGGTAGAAACTTTTGTGTTATCTATCCTGTTTGTGATCAGTTGCTTACCATAAAAATATCACCATTCGAATCCCGACTTTTTACTGGGTCTCAAACAGCGAAGCAGTTACCAATGGGAACCACGTAGCTATTTGTCCCACCAAACAAACCCGATACAAATCTTTTCAAATTTAATGTCCGAACGAAAAGCACTCCAGCACTATCGGTTTGCGAAACTACAGTTCAGTGAATAATGAACACGATTATTATAGCTTTCTGTTTGCATCTAAATAAAAAATCGAATCCCCACCACCACCACCACCACCGGTTGCAAGTTAGCAAAGTCAGGGTAACATGTGTTACCATTTGGGAATATTCAAACAGTCAGATGACAGTCCTCTTCGGACGTGGATATAGGTGCATGGCGTGGCATACTATTGATCAACGACACAGACCTTGTTTGCGTCGTAGTATCGTTGCGTGACGTTAGACAAGTCAGTAAGAAAAATCGTCGAGGATATTATTAATCCATTTAAAACAAGGATTATAAAAGAACAGAAAAATTATTGTGGCTATGTGGAGTTATATTTATAATAATCACGAAGCCAGTTTCTTTGCAATATAATGTACTGACACGCTTGCTTCGCATTCCATAAGTACGCATGCGTAATAATAATAATAATAATAATAATAATAAAACTACGATTTCATTTTCGTTACTATTATTGGGGATTCAGCAAAAAGTGTTTGGATTTGACACAAGTTATAAGAAGATTTCCGTTTCTGGAGTTTAAAAAATTACTTTTGAGAACGGGATTTACCTAAAACGCTTCTGGTGTTGATTTAAAAAAAAAAAAACAAAAAAAAAATTATTGCATCAAAAAACTTGTAACCTTGTACTTTTCTGCGGACTGAAGGATCATCCGAAAACGTCAACAATCATCAGAATACTACTAAAAGGAGGATAAATTTAATTACACAAGACATCAGCAACGTAGACACATCGAACAAATTGGAGCCCTACCCGGAGAAAAATAAATAAGGATTACAGTACACAAAGATAGTCACCCTTAATAACGTGAAATATCGACATTTATCAAAGAAGATGAAATAATATCAAAAAGTGAGATTTACTGACAGTCGACAAAAACTAGCCGTTGATATTGTTACTATTACAGAATAAATCAGTAATTGGCGTTAATACCCTTATTGGAATTATTAAAAAAACAAGGCAAAACAAAAAAACAAAACAAAACAAAAAAAAAAAGAAAAACATAAAATAAATTAAAGTTCAAAACAAGTGTACATATAAATACAGACACATACACACACGCAAAAAACTCCCCCAAAAAAACAAAAACAAAAAAAAACCCCAAAAAACGGCACGTTTATAGAGTTTCCTTATTAAAAAAGGAATCGGCCATTATTCAATGCTAGGTAGATTACGTCTAGTCCGGTTTGGATTTTGTTACACACTTTAACAGTAGATGCTGTCGGCATAAAAAAGATAACACTTTTAAAACTAAAAATACTGCCAGGACACGACTAAAAATAAAGCATCAAACTTGTAAGGACATTCAAACATTAACACAAAACAAATAAAAGCGAATGTGGCTGTCGCTTATATCAAAGAATAAGAAATTTACAGTACAAAACCCGCACCGAAAGATACACAAAGAACGTAAAGATTTAAAGCAAGTTTTAAATTAACATCATTCGCAGGATATAAATTTATGCAATCAGTCACCACTTGGAAAAAAACAAAAAACAAAACAAAACAAAAAATCGACAATAACGTCTGTAAGTAAGCCTACTGAGTCTGTTATACATTTAAAAATATATTACTTTTAATAACTACTAAAATTAGATTCTATTTTGGTTGATGGAACTGAGAGCAGTATTTGAAGATAAATAAACACGTTTTTGTTATTACAGTGTTCTAACTTGAATATTTACTTTGCCGTCACAATCTTCCCCGGGTAATAACACAGTTATTAACGTTTTGTATCGCACACGCACACACATACGAAAAAAAAAAAATAAGAACTTTCAAAGAAATTAACATGGCTTCCGTACAACGCTTGAAAAATTTGCCATTAATTTTCACTCTCTTCTTGTTATGCCGAATAATATCTAGCGAAGAGAGTTCACTGACAATCGAACTACCGGACAAAGAGAAATGGTGTTTTAATCACGAATTCTCGAAAGCGGCGCCATACATCTTCTACTTTAAGGTTATACGAGGAGGCAACAATGATGTTGACGTGAAAGTGATGACCCCAAACGGTCGCGTGATTTACAACGAGAAACGCCAAAATAACGGTCGAGTCGAGATGGACACCACCTCAAGAGGAGCCTACGAGTTCTGCTTCAGTAATGACTTCTCCACGTTAACCCATAAAGTGGTATTCTTTAGCATTCGATCAGAAGAGGTGGAAAATCTCGCCGTAGAGAAAGGAGAGAGAAAACCTTACGTGCCGACGGCTACAGAGGCAGCCTGTGACAACATCCACGCAAGTATGGTCGGTGTTGTAGAGAATCAGAAGGAATACCGGCTCAAGGAAGCCATCGGGCGACATTTAGCGGAAGTACTTAATACGCATGTGCTGTGGTGGTCGATTGGTCAGACAGCAGTGATTTTCTTAGCCGGAGTCGGACAGGTTCTTGTGCTTAAAACATTTTTCACTGAAAACCTGAAATCTAGCAAACCAGTAGAAAATCCACAATTTGGTTTCCCTAGGAATTAATAATAATAATAAACTTGTAAGATTGCTGAGGAATAAACGGGGCTTGTAGGTCGATTCTCAATTGAAGTTACATAACAGTAACAGCTCTTAATTGCTAAAAAAAACAGTTTCCAGAAAAAAAAAAACGCATTAGTAAATACGCATGCGCAAATGAAGTTCATATTTTCCTTATTTTCTCATGTTTATTGGTAATCTTTCTTTTAAAACGTTTTTTTTTTGTCTATCATACAAAACACAGCATTTCTTAATTTTTGTGTAATTACATCGAATTCGATTAATCAACGCATTTCTTTAAATTATTTATTTCTTTGCTACCTTTTATCACAGTTCAGTCAGTTATGTGCTATGCGTGATACACGCTTAGGCGATCATGTATCTTTCGATACAAGACTGACGAGGCAGATTTTTTCCAGCAGTAGGTTGCCATTTCTTTCTGAATTAGACCAGTTGCCATCCAAGGCTATAGGACCCGGTCTGTCTTGCTATTTACCCATAGCTTTGGGGGGGAGAGGATTCATACCTTTCCCAAGGGTATTAGCACTTAAGTGAATGTAATGGTTTCGACTGGAATTCGAACTCGGCGTTACTTCCATTAATTTGCAAAAATCTGAAACACAGCTTTAGGACTAGATTCAAACTCGTATATCCTATCATAGAAGTTTGCGAAATAATGTAGCAAAAGGTTGTTTTGACTTATTAAATATTAAACTGGGAAAGTACCCTTTTAATAAGTTTAGGTCATTATACAAGTAGTGTTTTTACTTATATCTAGACGAATGCCGCTAGTTTATATCTAGCAGGACACCGATACTAATATTGACCATTAGAACCACTGACGGTCTAGCAAACTTTTAAAGAACCGTCCTCCATCTTACTTACTTCATTCCCACTTTCTCCACGACACTTGCGTTTTTAATCCGACACTACCTAAGTAGACCGGTCCATTCTTTAAAAAAAAAAAAAAAAAAAAATAGGGAAAAATTATTGAAATAATTATTGTAGGTTATCATTCATTAGACCTTCTTCAAGGCGCGACATTTTTCAGAAACAAAAAATATTGAATTTTTTTAAAGTAATTTTAGAAGTGGGTATTGTTCATAATATTGATACAGTGTAAATTCAACCTCTGACTTTTTACAGACTTAGCTGCTCTGCGTGCTAAAGGAGCATTTTTCTTTTCTTTTAAGATTTCTTGACAAACAATGACCTTCGTTGTGCCGCAAAAAAAAAAAAAAAAGAAGAAAAAAACGATTTTTAAAATGCCGGTTTTTCTATTGACATCACTATTATTTTAACTACCTTCACTCCTCGGTAATTGTTATTGTTTAAAAAGCGATGATTAGAATTGTAATAAAAACTAACCATATGAAAGTGAATTCATATATTTTCTTTGTTCTTGAGAATTGACAATAAAAATAATAAATTTATTAGATTGTTTATTTACTACAGTGTAACCCGGATATAAGAGAGTTGTCGGGACCGGAGAAGTCTCTTATATCCGGGTTTCTCTTATATCCGGGTTTGGTCTATTTTATATACATTAACACAGGCTCTAATTTGGGACCAGAGAAAATCTCTCTTATATCCGGGTTTCTCTTATATCCGGGTTACACTGTATTTACTTATTGTTTATTGGAATGGTTGGCAAAACACTGGATAATTGCCAATTGATTTAAACTTTATAAAATGATAAATAATAAAGATTTCCTTATAGTTGGTTCACATATTTTAACAATTTAGTCAATGTTTATAAATTTAGGAATAAACAATGTTTTCATATTCATTTCTTTATAAATTGGTAAATGATAAATATTGCATTGTGTTTATTAGTGGTATGTCGTAAATATAAAATTATTCTTGTAAATAAACAATCTAATAAATAAATAGTGTTTAAGTTTAATATTCTTGTAAATTCTCACCAAGAAAATGTATAATTTCATTTTTATCATATGTTTAGGTCTAAATTCTAATCATTGTTTTTTTTAAACAAACATTGCTGAGGAGTGAAGGTAGTTAGCGGTGCCAATGGAAAAACGTCATTTTATTTTATTTTATTTTATTTTATTTTTTGCTGGCACAAAGATCTAAGTTTGCCGATTTCTTTTAAATAAAGAAAAAATGGATATATACATATGTAATTAAAGAACAAAAATTTACATAAATGTATATATCCATTTATTCTTCCTTTAGGATAAATAATTATCACACCCACAATGTTTGTACATGTGCTCCCGAAAGAAAATCTCTCCACCAAAAGTTTTTTTAAAATCTCTGAAAAATATATGCATATGTCAATGATGTAATCACAGTTTCAAAATTGGCATTTGTAAATAACCAAGTCCAATAACTCTGTAAAAAGTCAGGTATCGATATTATGAACAGGAACCCCTTCTAAATTTATAAAAAGTAAATATTTTTCGATTGTGACAAATGTCGTAGATTCCAGATCTTATGAGATTACGGTCAAAATGACATTGAATCACCGGTTTCCGTGTGATCACCCAAGTTAAGCAACATTGAGCCTGGTCAGTAACGAGGTGGGTCTCCGCTTGGAAATACAACATGCTGTATACTCGAATGCGTGGGTGGTATAAGGGCTTGGAATTGTTAATCAGAGAGCCGAGTTCCAATTCCAGTTGGGTTCGTTATAGTCACTTACGCGCAAATACCCTTGGGAAAGGCATGAATCCATATTTTCTCCTGCCAGATATGGGTTAATTAGTAAGACTAAAAAAAAAAAAATTATAATCTAAAAATATTTTCTGGCTTTAAATAACCCCCAAAAGGTTGATAATGCACAAAAAAAAAAAAAAAAATATCAATCTATCAAGATCTAATCAATGCTAATGTACAACAATTATTCCCTGGGAAATAACCTCCTTTATCTTTAAAAAAAAAAAAAAATGGACCAGTAACTACTTGCTACTAACTTTCTTTACTTCGTATGGGTTAAGATTTAGGTGAATTGCTTTAATACTTCCAAAGGAATGTCTTTCTTACAGACATAACTTACTGCTCAAAAATTAAAAAAAAACCCAAACAAATCATCATTGTACCTTGTATTTAATTTCATTTAAAATATTAACATTATTTTAAAATGAAAATAGCTTTCTGTCCCTTTTCCCGATATACAAGTCAAAGTTATGTCTCCTCCCCTACCCTAATAACGCACACCTTACCTTTCTGCCATGACTGTCTTCAGTCTAGCAAACTCTTGTTCTTCTTTCTTTTTATATACCTTGTCCTTTCAGGACGTAGGCGACCATGGCTTTCCACTTCCCCCTCCTATCCCTTGTAGCTTTCAATAAGTTTCGTCTTTCTTCTACCTCCCCCAGACTACGTTCTCTCATCCACTTGCTCAAGCCCGCCAGGTATGTCATGCGTTGTTTTCCCATCTCTCTCTTTCCCTCTGTTCGACCTGTGAGTATCAGAAACTCCTGTTCACCAACTCAATAATCGCTTTATGAACGCTGAAATGACAGTATTTGAAATTGCGGTGAACAAGTCGGTCTCGACATTGTGAGATTATTCTGGAATTTAAATCTAAGTTTAAGCCCGTACCTGCTGTATAAATCCATCCATTTAATAAAGAATACCAACCTGGGACTTATAACTATAAACTATTATTTACTAAACATATTCGATAATAGCGAAAAACTTAGAAAAAAAGAATTTCTTTGTAATGTTTTTTCTCTTTACATTTTTCACTAATTTTAGTTGCACAGTGTAACCTGGATGTAAGAGAAACCCGGATATAAGAGAGATTTTCTCTGGTCCCAATTTAGAGCCCATACTTACCTAAACAAAATAGACCAAACCCGGATATAAGAGAAACCCGGATATAAGAGACTTCTTCTCCGGTCCCGACAACTCTCTTATATCCGGGTTACACTGATTAAAAACAAAAATAAGGTGTTTTTAAAACTGGTAGTAAATTAATAGTGAGGCGCTATGAGGCAGGGGATTCAGACATCTTCAACATTTTGCTTGGAATATAGATCTAAAAATCAATATATGATAATTATACTGTATCGGTTTTCAAAATAAATCTTAAAACTTCATTTTCGATTTTCCACTCGAAATATTAGAATTAGCGTTTAAAACTTTCATATTAGAATAAAACGAAAGTCATCCATAAAATAAGTACAAGTAGAATAGAAAATTTATTTAAAATTGAACAAAGAATAAAAGTTCTTTTAAATATGTGAGCGTCACAGATACAGATGTGGAGCTTCCCCCGATGAGTTTGATTTGCATCCTCTCTCCTGTCGTCGTAGTGCCGGCTGCTTTCCACGGCATGCAGCAATAAACGAGATCATCAGAAGAGGTTTGGATGCAGCTTGGTTCCCGTCCCAAATCGAACCCGTAGGCCTCGACCGTGGTCATGGAAAGCGACCGGATGGCATTACTATTTTCTCTTTTAAAATAGGGAAGTCGTTGATTTGGGATGCGACCTGTGCGGATACATTTTTGGCCGGTAATTTGATCAGGTCCGCGGTTGAAAAAAAATAGTTAAATATTCTTCTCTTGCAAATAGATTTTTTTCTTTTTTTACTCCTGTGGCAGTGGAGACTTCTGGGTTTATTGGCCCCCGTTCGATGGCGTTCCTTCGGAGGATTGGCGCGATTGCTTCTCGATTAAAGGACAAGCCTCGCAAAACGGAGTGGCTCTTGCAGCGTGTCTCACTGGCGATGGTTCGAGGTAATGCTTTCTCCATCATTGCGGCTGTCAGAGGATAGAAAAAAATTGTTTATAGTTACTTTGTTCAAACTTTTTTTCAGTTAATAAATTTCTCATTTTCTCCCAATTTAAATAAAATAAAATAGCCTTCCGCCATCTTTTATTTTATGACGTCATGCCTGCCTTAACATAGTGTCTATTATTCCACTAGTGGAACATATTTTAAGATATATTTTTTTTATTTTTATGCCAAACTAACATTAACTGTATTTTAACAAGATGTGTAAGCACATATTATCTTTCAGTGTTTATTATACATAAAGTAAAATCAATTCTCGTCTGGCAAGAAAAAAAAAAATTCTTAAAATATGTTCCACTAGTGGAACGAACACCAATAACGGTGAAAATTTTTGTGACAGAATGACTATATAGATTTTTGACTCCACTTACTAATCATCGATACTTCCATAGCCGATGTCATTAAGATTAATGAAAGATGGGCTCCCGAAGTGTCGGGAGTAGAGTTTCTCATCAAAAGCTACTTTACTTCTGACAATTTTCTGTTTTCTCTGACAATTGAACGTCTCTTCAACGTCCAAAGAATCAGCCTGTAGTTTATACTGCAACTCCGCTGAGCGGACCTAAGTTACAGTTTAAGTATATGAATTCGGAGTAGTTGTTCTCTTATACGGACTACCAACCATAGCAAGATAGTCTAATCTGCCTTGCTATTTAACGCATAGCTGAGGGACTAGAATAGTGAGACGAAACTAAAAATAATACTAATAATAAGACTACTCCGTTACACTTTTGCTTCCTGAAATGTACATGTGGAATTATTTCCGACGTATTGCGCGCAACGTTCATTTATTTATTCTACTTTTTTTTTTTTATTAAAATCTTTTAAAATCAATTCATATAGTCCTGGATATGACGATAAACTACATCCGATCAGGAGATCGGAGGTTTTGAGGAGCGTGGAACTATCTCTTAATTGCTGTTGTTCCCAGGTCCACCCTGTTCCAAGGTGGTCGCATTTGTTAGGGTCCCAGCTATGGGAAAAAAATAGTCTTTGGTTCACTAAGAAAGTATAAAAATACATTTTGGTAAAAATACCAGCAATATAGATGGTGATTGAAAAGTAACTCCCTATTTTATGTATGATGGAATCTCCCGTTTTGTAAAAATTATACTTAGATGTAAAAGTCCATCATACATAGAATAGGGAGTTACTTTTCAATCACACTGTACTTATAAAAAAATTGACCAGTTGTAATACATTTTTATAGCAAAATAACAGTTATTACAACACTAAAGTATAAAATACTTTTTTATATTAAAATTACTAACAGTACATTTTTTCATCTACATACTATATGTCTAAAAGACATACGGTTGCCCTGAAAGTATAAAATTATGTACAAAATATTTGTAGTTGAAGCCATTAAAATTGTGTACAAAATATTTAGATTTCGGCATTAAATAATCCATAGAAGTGTTGACATGCCGCTAACCAAAAACAACCAACCAAATCAATTTATCAAACGCGCATTGGAAATATAGTTGCAAGTTGTTATATAAAATCTGCTTGGTACACACACACACACACACACACATACGCATACATACATACATACACACACACACACACACACACACACACATATATATATATATATATATATATATATATATATATGTATGTATGTAATAGGTGTATTTAGGCAGCAAGAATTATTTCAAAGTCCTCTCTATCCAATTTTTGTTATTAACTTTTTCAAATTTGCGAATTAGTTGTTTTATATAATCGGTAAATTTACCAAAGTTCATTTTTTTTTTTTTTTTTTTTACCCGAGTACTTTCAAATGTTGAATCATTCGTTTTGCAGGGATTTCGTTTTTTTTTTTTTTTGTTTGTTTGCTTTTATGTGATTTTTTTAGCTAATTTTTAGGAAATGTATGTACCAATATTCGAAAGTACTCGTGGAACGAACTTTGGTAAATTTACGGATTGTATAAAACAACGAATTTGATAAAAGTTAATAAAAAATTGGATACAGAACTTGTCGGTATTATTCAATCAAATATCAAACATGTTTGAAATCTATAATAATATCATCAATACCAAAATCCACACCTCAGAGTTTCATGTAATAATAATCTTCTGCCTCATGATTGTTATTACATGAAACTTTGAGTAGCGGATTTTGTTATTGATAATATTATTATATTATATTTAACCTCTGTCGACTTTGGTACTGAGCCCTCAGTTTATTTTATATTTTCTTTAGCACTTATTTTCTTTACTCTCTCTCTCTCTCATATATATATATATATATATATATATATATATATATAGATAGATAGATAGATAGATAGATAGATAGATACACACACACACATATATATACACACCGACAAATTTCGAACGGTTCTCAGCATTAAATGACCTAATGACCTGATATGTCTACCCAATTCCACTCACAATGCTTGGATTAATCCGTGATTTTGGCTAGCTCCTGCGGAGGGCTCTTGATTGGGCTTCCATCACAATAGGTAGGGAGGACTAGATGCGATAGGCAACATTAAACTACAGAAGAACTCAAAATTGATCGCTGCATTTAAATATTGCATTAATATTTAAGCTTACCGTTTAAAAGTTCCAACGATAATTCTTCTGTCGCCACTTAATTTAAAGGCAAGTTGATGTACGTAGGTCCTTACTTTCCGTACAAACAGTTATTTTTATTTCATGGGTGACTTTCGGTGGATTTCGCAGTTAATTTAAATTATTCCCAAATTTATTTCCAAGTTATAAAAATTGTTATCGTACAAAAAAAATCGTCGCAAAAAATCACAGTAATGAAAACTTGGGAATCTAAATTTTCAGAG